TAAATAAGAGCGCAACATGAAGTTTGAGGAGGCTGCCCCTACTGGGCTCCAGTGTCTTTACCCTTGTGCTGAGACCTCGTTCCAGGTCTTGCACAGAGCTCTAATCTAGGTTTGATTGCTGAACAGGGGCAGCACCTACCCTCCTGACTAGCTGATTTCTAGATACTCACAACGTGGCATCCTTTCAGTCCTAATTTTTCTCAGTAAGCTCAGTTTTTCCCCTAGTTGATGAACAGGAAAAAAAAAAAAATCACTGACTAAGGAGAAATCTTAATGCATTAACAGCTGTACCAAAGTCAAAGAAAATTGAATGGTAGATGAAGAATGACTATTTGTTGCTTTTGCTAACGTGTTATCCAATTGCTGCTGTGAAGTAGGGGGAGATAGGTGTTACTGATGCTAGATGACTGTCCTGGGATTTCCAAAATTAAAGTTGGGTGACTTGGGGTCCAAATTCTTTGCAACAGGATACACAGATTAATTGCAAGTAACAGGAGAAATGCTTGCCAGAAATAGTTAACTAATCATTCATGCAGGTCTCCTGTTAAGGAAGCAAAAAATTAACTGTTTTGAAAGGCAGAAGAAGTTTCTTCTTTTTTATATTTATTCTGCAACCTGTTTCTCATCCTCAGTGGCAAATGCTTGTTAATCATTAACGCTGGCTAATGAAGGAAATCAAATCTCACTTTTCGCTATAGCTACTTTTTTCATATTATATTAAATTGATAGGTGGTGGATAGAAACCAGGCTGCCTGAAACTTAGGAATTTGGCTTAAGTTGCCGGTTGCTGAACTGGCTTCAGTAAACAAGTTTCCAAACACTGTAATTTCCCTCTCTGTCCTTTTTTGTTTTTGTTTTTCCTCCCCAGAAAATGGCTGTTCCACCAGCTTATGCTGATTTGGGAAAATCTGCCAGAGATGTTTTCACCAAGGGATACGGTAAATATAAATAAATTTGGTCTTTTACTGTTTACCTGATTCCTGAAACTGACTTGTTATGATTTTACTGCTTTTCTCTGACAAAAATTGCAATAATTTTTATTAGAGTTCAGAGAATTTTATATCACAGCTTCACATTGTCCTTACTGCCTGGAAAGGGAGGGTAACTTATTTTTCCTCTGACAAAATTCTTCATTTTACCCACAGGTCTGTTGTCCATTTTGAAGTGTGCTATATTTTGACTATTCCCTTGTATCATGAACAGGACCACTGATGTCAGTAGTTTGCTTATGAACAAAATGCTATTCAGTATGAGTAAAAACATTATTACCTAATTTGATCCTAGTGATATTGCTGGACTAGTGCAGTTAAGTACTGTCTTTAATGAATATAAGCTGCATAATCTGCCTCATAGAAAAACAGTGGTCCAGTAGCTGTAGCCTTGGTCTGTTTTTTGAATAGTTCACAGGAGATCTAGAAGAGAGTTTTAAAAGACAAATCAGAAATGGTCTTAAAGTTAACACACATATATCTTATATTTTTTTACTCATTTTCTAGGTTTTGGGTTAATCAAACTTGATTTGAAAACTAAATCTGAAAACGGACTGGTGAGTTGGACCTGAAATGTCTCACTGTTCTTGTGTTTAGTATATATTCATTTTAAAAGTATAAATATGTGTCCTTACTCTCCCCTTGCCAATTTTTGTGTGTGTTATAACCTTGCAAGATACACTGCCTTTACATTATAAGTCTGTCATGAGACTGTGCACAATTTACAGTGGAAGATATGATGCAGGGCTCCTTTGCAGACAATTGCTGACTATGAAAATTACAGTCCTTTTTGAGGCCATCTCTGTGGCCTGTGCTAGGAGAAGTGACAGTGCCTCCCTCCTGCACACCATTTCAATTTATTAAGGGTTATGCTCTCTCAGATTTTCTTTTTCTGTGAAGATTTTGATTTAGCTGTGTGCTGGCATGGGGCACAAACTCTCTGAGGGCTATTAACCAGCATTTCAGAATAATGTTTTGCCCAAGGCTGCTTATCAGGTTTAAAAGAGAACTTGCACACAGGTGTGATTTGTGGCTTTTCCATTTCCTGCAGTCAGAATTTCTGAAAGTATGATTTCTGAATATGCTGTATGCTATTTTTCTTATCTGTTACTAAACAAGAATAGTTGCAAGATAACTGCGCATTGGTCCTAATTTTTATAAAATCCCTATGAAGGCTGTATTTGCAGAATTGCATGCTGATTCACAAATAAACCTGGTATGCCAACTTATCAGACTAGCACTTTGTGTTATGATACTGGTAAGAATTATCCACATCCCTGTCCCTTCAGGGATATCCATTCCTTCAGGGTGAAATATTTTTGATCCCTGGCACACTGAAGTTTTTGTGGGGCAAGTATGTGTTGATATTAATAACTAGCAAACATATTCTTAAAGCTTTTGAGAACATGGCAGTATTAAATATTATCCCAAATCATAATGACTCGCACATTCTACAAATGTAAGTATTTGCCTGTGCATATGTATATATTTTTTTTCCTTTTTAGGAATTTACAAGCTCAGGTTCAGCAAACTCAGAAACAAGCAAAGTTAGTGGTAGTTTGGAAACAAAATACAAATGGGTGGAATATGGATTGATGTTCACAGAAAAGTGGAACACTGACAACACACTAGGCACTGAGATTACTCTCGAAGATCAGGTAATTTTTGGCTCAAAAGATACCATTTACAAATTCGCTTATGACAATCTCCTTTTTAATTCTAAATGCAACTGTTGAATTTCTTTTCTGTTCAGCTTGCACAAGGACTGAAGTTGACCTTTGACTCCTCATTTTCTCCTAACACTGGGTAAGAAGTGACTAAGCTTGAGTGACAAAAAAGACATTTTTGGTTTTAGCTGTTCAAAATACTGTCTTATTCTTTTTTTCCTTCTGCCATAAGATATAAAGACAGGTAACAATCAGTGTATGATAAAAAATCATGTCCCATCTCATTGAAATCTTAGTATTAACAATCCCTTTTTAAGCACGAGTTATAGCAAGCAAAATTTTAAATGCAATAACTTGAAAATTATAGTCGGAATTGGGGAAGAAAAGGCGTTTTATTTCTTTTTTTTCCCCCTCTCCTGCTGCTTATTTTTGGCCATGTCAGGAGATGCGTACTTAGCTACTGTCTGAATAAAAACTCTGAACAAGTCAACTGTAATTCAGAGCTTAACAAGCTCCGTAAGCCAGTTGGCTACAGCTTTAATAGGTCGATGCAGTGATTGGGTTCATCTCCCAAGCTGAATTTATCATTTAAATTCTTGCTGGCCATAATGTGACTTGGTAGTGGATGGGTATTTCTGACATTGTGATTGGATGCCACGTTTTATGTGGGCCAGAGGGATTAAGCAGCAGCTGTAGGACTAGATGTTGTTTTATTTTTTCCCTGATTATCTTTTTGCAAGCTGTGTTGCCAGTGAGTCAAAATAGACAAAATACTCTGAAAATTAGCTTTCCAAAGGAGCACACCGCACTGCCGGCTACCAGGGTAACAGTCTCAGTGAAGATTTCAGCCTGTTTTCTGGATTTAGTGTCTTCCTTTGTAAATTGCTTTCACTCCACTCTTAATTCTATATTAACTAGATATCTCTGTATTTTTTTTAACCAGAATAATCTCTAGTTTTTTGTTGATAATTTTGTTTTATCTGGGAGGATTATTTAAAAGAAAAAACTGTATGAGGAACGACAAGTTACAGCTCTGTAGCTATTTCTCAGGAACTTCCCAGACTTTACAATATCTGACTTGTAACTGAACTCTCTCCTTTGCGGGGAGACCATTATAATTTGAATAAATGGCATGAAATCCAATCCTTTTGTGACCAGGCCTAAGTTGACAGGGGTGCATCATGTGTGATTGTGATACGCTTTCTCCCCTCTCTTTACTACGGTTCTTGATGAGTCTTTTAACTGGGAAAGTCATTTTCAGAAATGCCCTGTGTTAGCTTGCATGGACGCTGGTGGGAAGATGTACTACCGACTTCTATGGAAATTGCAGACAAGCTAATGTTTGAGTACTCCTGGCAATCCTGCTCCTTATCTTTGATTTCCTCTTGTACTGCTGCAGAAGAGATGTATTTAGGCATGAACAACAGAGCAATGCAAAATACAAGAAATTCTAGTCTGATGTTTAAAAAAAAAAAAAAAAAAGAACAATCCCTTTAGAGATCTGATACAGCAAGTTTTGCAGTTCTTGGAGACTTTTTTGCTAGCTGAAGTAGAATGTTGATTTGCAATTTAAAATTAGTCTGATTTTTCTGGGAAATTTCAGAAAAAGATTTGGTCAAAGACAGAAGAGACTTGTAAGTTAGAAAAGAAGAAGGAAAAAAATTGTAAAAGAGTAGTTGAATATACTAGATGTGACTCTCCTGCCTTGTGAAGATCTGCTCCTTTGATATAAACACACAGACACATGAGAAAATACTGTTCTGGCCAAAAATATGAAAGGGAGCAAATGACTTGAAGTTTATTTGTGTGTTTATTTCAAAAGAAAGCAAACCTGGCAGCCTTTCCGACAGCTATAACCATTAACATTTATATATAAAGCATCAAAAGGACAAAAGGGGGTGCTAGAGCCACTGAAGCAGCTTACTTCCTTAGCAGCAAAGGCTTTCCCTCAGGCAGCTGGAGGCAAAGTAGCGTTTCTTAACTTCTGTCACAGTAAAAGAAATTATCCAGTTAACTAGGATTGTCTAAGAATTGTTTGTGTGAGACAGGCTGATGACTGTTGACTTTTTGTGGCAACCTGTAAACTGTTACAGTTTCTATTACTTCCTTCTCTCTAGCAAACTTCAAAAGCAAATCAGATCTGTGTGACATGATGAATTGCTTTTGTCACCCCTGGTCTAGCTTACTGTGCTGCTGCCTTTTCTGATCACAACTCAGAGGTGCTTAGTAGTATATCACACAGTGTTTTATTGCTTTGTTACACAAAATTTACTGCAGATGAATTAAGTTTTTGCAAGTCTACAATGTAGAGGGTGACATGTCATGAGGTTCTCCAGGTATGTATACTTTGCTTTCAGGAACTGTTACAGTAAGTTAAAGCAACTGACTTGATTAAAGTGCTACGTAAGAGCCGCCTTTTCAAAGATATGTTTTTCTCTTTTTTGCTTTAGGAAAAAGAGCGCTAAAGTTAAGACAGGATACAAAAGGGAACACATCAACATTGGCTGTGACATGGATTTTGATATTGCTGGTCCTTCAATACGTGGAGCTCTGGTGGTTGGCTATGAGGGTTGGTTGGCAGGTTACCAAATGACTTTTGAGACAGCTAAGTCTAGAGTAACCCAGAGCAACTTTGCTGTTGGCTATAAAACTGATGAATTCCAGCTTCATACTAATGTGTAAGTATTGGCAGACAGGCATTTAGAAAAAAAAAAAAAAGAATTTAAAAGGATTTTGCTGTTGACTAGAACAATGACAGGGAAAGACTTTCAGCGTTGGTGTAAGAGGGAATGGTGGATTTCACACTGGAAGCTGGAAATGCAAACTGCAATTTTTGCATTAGCTTTTGTTTGAATTATGTTGGTGAGGGATTGTACGATGAACTGGAACTCAGTGAGTACTCAAGCATTCAGAGTCTATCTTTTTAAAAAATCTTTAGTGGAATAATAAAACAATAAATTACGTACATTTTCTTCATGAAAGAAAAAGTAAAAGCAATGCCTCCCTTTTGCACATGCCAAGACCAAATTGAAAATGGTGGCTTGATCTATAGGAGAAAGAATTGATCAGAGGATGAACAAAACGGGAGAAAATTGCAAGAGCTATGGACCAAGTTTGCTTTAGTACTGGAAGGGATATGGTATAAAAAGTTTGTCTTGGTACTGAAACTCCTAATAATCTATTTACACAAGCATTTGTCTTTTTTGCATGTGTGTGCAGTGGGAAAACAGGACAAAATGTTATGAAAACCTTAATTTTTCTGTCTCTTGCATCTCATGGAAAAAAAAAATTATGCCTTTTGACAGTTTTTTAAGATTAGGCAATCCTTAATCCATCCCTTCCCTCCCCCCCCCCCCTCCATTCCCTTAGGTAATTAGATTTTTTGCATGTAGCAGAGCTATTGCACGCTGTTCCCATTTGGGGGCTGAACAACTGTTCTGCTTTCTTGGAGCTGCTTCTTTGAAGGCTTTATGTTCTATTTCATGCTGTTTTGCAGAGATCTGGTTTAGGAAGCCCAGATTGCCTTACAGAACAATTGAACCTTCACAGGCCTGAGACTGTGTTTGAAGGATTGCCAAAGCCCAAAAGTATGGGCATAAAACGTCCATCGAAACGATATGCAGGGTCCCCTTCCACTCGGTAGTTAAGAGCTACTTCCTCAAACGCAATGGCTTTCAACTCCATAATACTGTAGTAGTTAAAACATTGTATTATGGGCCTTTGCTATAAAAGGCTGTAATTATTATTACTTTTATTTAAGGCAACAGCAGAAAATAACTTCAGAACAGTAAAGCAGAGATCTGATCTCCTCCTGCTATCTCTTCAGTCCTTGAAGGTCTGTTTCTTTGGCAGCTATTACTGTACGTACATGATAGATAATCTTTAGGAGGAAGCCTAATTTGTTTATTATTCATACTCCACCAACTGAAAGGCAAAAACATGAATGTGGGATATGAACGGAAATCTTAATTATTGGTATTAATGGATTAGTTAGGTACTTTTAACATGTTTCAGCTCTGAAACATGCCAGAGTTTTTGCAAAAACCAGGAAACAGAGTTGTGTTTGGAACTTCCATCACTAGCATGCTGGCTTATATCTAGACAGTTCAGTGTTTCAAAGAAATACAGCACAGTAGATAAATTAACTAGCTGGGGCTTGAGAAATCGTGTTTTGTTTCTGGCTGTTTCGCAGATCAGCTGGTGACTTGAGCAAGTTACTTTCCTTAATGGTGCCTAAATATCTTCATTTGCATAGGGGAATAATATTTCTGACCTACATATGAAAAGTGCTATTATTATTAGAATTAAAAGGAGCTTTTACTTTTTTAAAATAATACGTGATAACTAAAGGGAGGTAGGACTGGATAATTTCTACTTTGAAATATGACTTTCCTCGTTTTTTGAGCATAGCTCAGACCCCCCCCCCCTAATGTTGCAGGTCAAGACAGAGCTGTTTGGGAAGCTTGCACAAAATCTGCCTGTATAACCAGCTCTACTCAGTCCTTTTTAATCCCTCCTTTTCTTGAGAACCAAGCACATGCAGGTATATGTGAGCTTCAGTCTTATCTGAAGTAAGTATTGTAGTGTTTTTCTGGAAGAATTGCTCTAACGATTTAAAAGGCTGCTGCTATTGCTTGAACTTTTAAATAGGCATATTACTATTGTCTGTGCAACTGTTATAAATAAACATTGGACCAGATGGGTAAAACTGGAGAGATCCTAAGTCTGCCTTTTTTTTTTTTTTTTAAATCATTAAAGGTTTTGTATACTCTAATAATTGGAGCCAGTTTATTTCACAATTGAGAAATGATCAGAAGTATTTTATTTGCAGAGGTCTTTGTGTGGTTTAAAGCCTGTTTTGTGCAATGTGTTTGTATCCTCTTTTAAGAAAATGAGCTAAAAATGGAAATTCAAATGCGTATGACTTCAGTAGGAGTGAAAGGCTTATAGAAATCTTTTGCTCTTGTTTTATGATCTGGATGGCTTGTAAGGTTCTGCATTTTATTTACCATACTGTATTCCCGTTGTGACATTGGTGTAAGTAGTAACTGAAGTTCTACTACTCATTAGCAGTGATTGAAGGTTCTCATCATTTAACTGTTGGCTAGTGCTCTATGGGAACTGAAATTAGTTTCATTTCAGTTTCTAGTCCAGAGCTATCTATAGTGCAAATATATCATTAGAACTATTGCAAGTGACATTCATTTACAAGAGCCGATTATACTTAGATGAACTGCATCAGAAGTGAAGATGACAATTTAATATCTATGTCTGGTAAAAACATGCTGATGAGACAGTGTTAGGATGACCGCCCTTCTGTAGAGGAGCGCTCAGTCTCTGTGACTAGGGTACTGCCCTTTCAGGCACTGAGATGATGCATGTCTGGGAAAGTAATTATTTCATTAATGTACAGAGAAGAATAAATCACTTTATTGCAAAGACTCCCATCTCCAGAGAAGGGAAAATCGGAACCTTTCATCATTATTAGTCTATTTCCGATAGTTTGTTCTGGGTTTTCTTCAGTTTCATGAGTTCTTTGTTGAAATATGGTAACCGTCAATGACTAAGCAGTCTTTTATAAATACTTAAATTCAATCTGGCCTAATGTGTCATTCATAGGTGTTACAGATATTGAATGAGCTATAAGTGAATGCTTTGCAAATACAGATCTTACTGAAAAAGATGGTATTTTTGAGGGCCAGTTTAAAACTAGACTGATGTATTAATTCCAGGAATGATGGAACAGAATTTGGAGGCTCCATTTACCAGAAGGTGAATGATAAATTGGAAACTGCCGTGAATCTTGCTTGGACAGCTGGTAATAGCAACACCCGCTTTGGAATAGCAGCCAAGTATCAGATTGACCCAGATGCCTCTTTTTCTGTGAGTGCTATACATGTACATTTATGAGCATTTGAAAACAAGCTCTTGTAATGGAAATGTGAAGCAACCCTGTATCAGTGAGTAAAGTACGTTTTTGATGCAAATTCCTTGGGGTGTAGTTGGCACGTTCTCTCTCTTTTTTCTTGTTTTCTTGTTTTTTCTGTCAGCATGACAGCCTAACTATTGGATTTACCTTGAAAGTGATGCAGAATGTTTTATCCTGCTACTGGGCACTGTTCTAAGCGTTTCTCATGTCAGCCTGGTTGAAAAAAAAGTTACAAAGCTGGCTAATAAAAACCATTGTTGTCTATAGCATTGTAGATTGAGATTTTGGATGTAAGTTATAGCAAAATTAACTCTATATTCTGTTTGTGATTTAAAACACGAAATCATTTACCACACTTAAAAGGCATTCTTCAAGAAGAAGAAATATACCAAATTATTTACATTCTGTATTTTTTCTCTTTTAGGCTAAAGTGAACAACTCCAGTCTGATTGGTTTAGGATATACGCAGACTTTGAAGCCAGGTTAGTCTACGCAGAAGGAACTCAAGACATCAGATAAGCTATATTTTAGCCTTGAAATATCAAAGAATGTCTTGTGACAAAATGTGGCTAGTTTTGTAACACTGCTGTCCTACTTAGCAACCTAATGATGACCTTTCTGAGGGACTGCCCCTTTAATTTTGGACATCATCAGAAGCAGAATTATTAGAGACCACCATTCACTGACCAGTCAGATATACTTTTGTGTCGATACGCAGTATGTCTACAATTAGGTGCTTCACGGATAGGTAAATGAATTTTTAGTACTTTCAGAGTTTTCCTACTGAGTTTCTATTGCTTGAAAATGTCACGCCTCCAAGGTCCACTGGTCCACAGAAGAGGACAAACGTTATTGCTGAACAACTGGTTTTAGTATAGTCAAATAAATCTGCTGCCAGAATACCAAGCAGATTGACATGAGAGCCTTTTCATCCATAGATTTTTAAAGTGGCTTAGAAAGGTGGGTGAGCACTGAGGTCCCAATTTTTCTATTATTACTGTTTTATTACCTCACTCTAAAATTAGATTAGTCAGTGGACTAACAGGAGTGGATGGACTGATTTTAATTATTTGGAATGATAAAAAGAAGCAGAGTCTAGCCTCATGGTTTATTTACCAAAACTTACAGGTTAAATTCAGAAAGATTTCCCATTCATAGCTCTACTACTCTGCAAGTTGTTGTGTGTTTTTTTTTTTTTAAGCCCAGTCATTATGAGCATAGCCACCGATTTACATTAACCTAGCTTTCCAATAAACAGAAGCAGCAACATAAACACTGCAGTTAACTGAATCTAAGGTGCATTTCAAGTTGTAACAGCTGTCTTCTCTCTCACTTCTGTCTGTTTTACAGGTATCAAACTGACGTTGTCAGCTTTGTTAGATGGCAAAAATGTCAATGCAGGTGGTCACAAACTCGGTCTAGGACTGGAATTCGAAGCATAAAAAGTGATTCTACAATCGCTATTTTGAAAATACTTCGCAGCATAGCTACCTTCAGAATATAGTGTACCTTTCAATGTTTTATGTATGGGATGCAAATTATTGCTAAGTATCAGTCATGCTAGTCCTGGTTAAAGACAGCTAAGCTAAAGATGTTTCAGAAATGAGACGAGAACAAAAGAAAATCCTAATTCCAGGCTTTTTTGGAATGTTGTTGCCCATCATATCCGCCAAATGCCACATAGTAAAGGTGTTCAATACCGTCACACTTCTCAAGTATTGACTGCACAAGGAATATGCTAATGTGGTATAAAAATGATGACTTTAAGAGTTGCGTACTACTATAGTGAATTGTTAATTCTGTAAGCCGCGTTTCCTGACATTACAGGTTCAGAGTTTCAATTCGTGATGGCATATGCAAATTTGCCTGAAAAGGGGATTTTTTTTTTAGATAGGTATTTCATAAATGTTTTGTCTTATTTAGTTATCGTACACCTACAGCTGTCTTCAGAATGCTTTAGGCTGTCCACCTTGTATAACTCTGTTGCGGAGGAGGTTTAATGTGACTCAGCCAGTAATGCTTGTCCTGTGCTGTGGTTCCTTTCCCTTGCACTGAATGGAAAACTTGTAAGACAGAGCCATAATCAGGGAAGAGTCTTTGTGACTGCAATCACATAGTTGCATCACTTTCAATTTGAAATGAACTTCTGTTTTATCACTTTTTTTTTAGCAATTAAATGAGTACATTTTTAGAGTCTTCCATTTTGTGTGGAACTAGACCCCAGAATGCTGTACTTGACACTACTAAAAATGGACAGAAAACCCAAACCCAACTTGAATAAAATATTGAAATGTCACCTTCTCCTTTGTCTTGACTGTGGAAATAATTTCACACTAATTCCTGGGTCTAGAAACAGACTGGCATCATCTTATTGCACATTTTCTAGCGCACGTTAAATAGTTCAGTACACTTATTGAGGCAGTGCGTTTTACAAACATCAGACGTGAACCTAAAAGCAGGAAGATGTTTTTCAGGAAACGTGGAAATCTCATGAAAATCTACAGTATGTGAGAGGATGAATGACCAACCCTTCGGTCTTCAAAGCCAACAACGTTAAGAAACTAAGGGCTATGTTCCCCTTTAAGGCCTTCTGCCTAGTGGTGACAGCTTTTTGCGGGTTGGCCCCTTCCCTACAGCTGTTAAGTAATACCTGAATACCTCTCCCTGCTGCCTAGGCAGAGGGGCTGAGGCCATCTAATACAGAGAATACAAGGTGAGAGGACCAGCGGATGTTTTTTTCACTGCAGAATTCACTAAGTTGAATTACCTTGCATAAACAAACAAATGCGTGAGAGCAAGGAATGGGTACGAGCTGGGACACGTTTCAGTCACTTCACATATTTTTATCTTTTTACATGTGAACAATTGACCGAGCTGGTAGGGAGATGTGAGGAGACCACTTACAACAGGACAGGTGTGGTCCTCGTCTGGACTTCCACCCAAATAAACCACCTGCAACCAGCTCACAGTAAACCGGCAGAGGGGTCAAAATTAATGTGTGTGTGTTTGCTGTATACGTTGTGTGTAAGCGAGAGGAAAACCCGTATAGTCGCGCCCGCCCGCTCCAACCGTCGCGCCC